TGACGTGTTGGAATAGTAACTAATAGTAGTTAAGTATGGAATCAGGGAGGGTTTGGACATTTTTCATATGTTTCCAGGTCTGTAATTTTCATAGGATGTGACACTGCCTCTTCAAGATTACACACATAGATCATGAAAGTGAAGAGAATCTTTTATAAATATATATAATTTTATAATTGGACAAATTTACTTGCCCAAATTGGAAAACATTATTTGCATAATAATTTATAATACTAAAATTTGTAATTTTTATAGCAATAAAATACTATATCCACTAATAAGCTTATAAAAACATACATATGAAAATATGTAATTGAATACAAGGCAAATAATATAACAAGAGGCAAGGATCCTCAAATATTGGGTTCAGAGTAGAATAAATTAAAAATTAGAATGAAGAAATGAAGACAAAGAGTATCAGTATTTTGCTGATACTCAGGACAAGGCTCAATAAAACTTACTTAGAAAGAATTAAGGAGAATGATCCCCTCAAATCAAAAATTAGTTGAGAGATGGTGTCTACACTACACCTTGGTGTTGGGTTCCGAATTTTCTATCCTTGTGCCTCCCAAAATGAGACACTTAATATCTTACTAAGAAAAAAAAATATGAAGAAAATTATATCTGAAATGCTCAAATCAATGCTATTTGAAAACAAATTCACCTGATCATTGAATCAACTGTCACTCATTTTCAGGGCAGTGGATAAATATCATGAAGTTTTTCCGTAGGAATACACCAATTCCAAGGCATTGTATAACTGCAGAGAGAATATTGCTGCTCCTTGAACTGGAAAATCTAATGACTATTGATCCAGAAGTATCAATTCTAAGAATACTAATTGTTACACAAATTATTGTTTTTCCTCATCTTTCAGTATTTTCAAGCTTTGAGTAATTTGTGAAAGGAAAAATATTTCTGCATTTACCTTCATTTCTGAAATGGTAGAATACACCTTCAGGATTTATTTCCCCATGTTATTCCACCAGTTATTTCAAGAGGGCCTATTATTAACTGGCTTTACTGAGGTATATATTATAAAATATGACAAGTCTTGACATATGAAAACAGCCATGAAACCATCACTAAACTCAGTGAAAATATACATCTCCCCCAAAGCTTCCATTCCCTGTGCAATGCCTCCTGCCCATCCTTCCCCACACACCTGTCCCCACAGCTCTTAGTTGCTGTGTATTGGTGTACATTTTCTAAAGTTTTATTTATAGGGAATTATGCAATATGTTCTTTTCATTTTCTATGTTCTTTCAGCATAAGTTTTTTTTTTTTTGAAACACAGTTTTACTGTGTTGCCCTCAGTAGAGTACTGTGGCATCACAGCTCACAGCAACTTCAAACTCTTGGGCTTAAATGATTCTCTTGCCTCAGCCTCCCAAGTAGCTGGGACTACAGGTGCCCACCACAATGTCAGGCTATTTTATTGTTGCAGTCGTCATTGTTGTTTATCTGGCCCAGGCCGTGTTTGAACTGGCCAGCCTGGGTGTATGTGGCTGGCACTGTAACCACTGTGGTATGGGACACACATAAATATTTTTAAATTTATTCAGGTTGTTATGGGTATCATTAGTACATTCTTTTTATTTATTTACTTTTATTTGTATAAATTTATGGAAAATGAGTGCAATTTTTTGTACAGGGACATATTGAGTAGTGGTAAAGTAGGCACTTTTATTGTATCCATCACCCAAATAATAAACATTATACCCATTATTCTCATCACACACCTCCCACTCATCTGAGTCTCCGTTGTCTATCATTCCACACTCTACATTTATATATGCATATTATTTAGTTTCTACATATTAGTGAGAACATGAGTTACTTGTCCTTCTGTTTCTGAGCTATTTTACTTAAGATAGTGGCCTTCAGCTCCATCCATTTTGCTGCCAAAGACATGACTTCATTCTTCTTCCAGATTGAACAGTATTCCCGGTGTACACCTACCACTTGTTCATAGTCCAACCATCTCTTAATGAACACTTAGGATGCTCTCTTTTCAATTGTGAATAACATTGTGATAAA